GAGAGAGAGAGAGAGAGAGAGAGAGAGAGAGAGAGAGAGAGAGAGAGAGAGAGAGAGAGTAGGAGGAAGGGAGAGGACAGAGAAAGAGGGAGGGAGGGAGGGAGGGACTGACTGACTGTGGCACAGATTTCAGCAGCTTCGCCGCTGACAGAGTCCATCATACCGCCATCCCCCCAGCGACAATCCTACCCCACTGCTGGGGATTTCCCTTCTCATCACCTCACATCGGGGACGAAAAGAGCAACATTTCATAGCACAGGATCCCTATCCCCCATACAAACAAATCAGACACATGTCCGTTCCCAATCCACCACATCAGTCCCCATCATGCCTGATAATGTGGGTAGTTTCATTCCACCTCCTTCAACATCGCATGGCTCTCCACCGGTTCTGCTGCACAAGCAGAACTGGCACGCAGCGCAATTTGCATCGACAGGCCTGACGCCTTGACGGATTTGGTGGCACCCATGTCCAATAGAAATTAGCACCGGAGTACAAAAGCACAACTACCCCTCCGGCAATGTGTCTTGCAGGGATTTGCTCCCCAACAACATTGTTGCGAGAGGGCCCATGAGCCTCCGAAACGGCAGCAAAGGATCAGTAGGAAGTGTGTCTGGGTTACAAGGTGCACAGGCCCAGACATGGACCCAATAAACCTGCCTGAGTCCGGGCACGTCACGGCCTAGGCCGGAAAACTCCAGAACGCAGAACGTACTGGAAGAAGAGGACTCAATACCACAGTACACAAGTCAACACTGGGGAAGGTCAAAAAAAAAAAAAAAAAAAAAAAAAACAGGGGAGGTCAAGGGACCTTTCAGATGCAGGATGCCCCCAGGGTGCACAACCATTAGAGGGCCAGTACATGTGAGCCTCTTCTTAATGTGGCGGATTTGCACCGTGCGCCAAGCTTCGCTGAACTGCCAGCAGCGTACATTTCATTCATTTTGACTGGCACCGCCGGCCATGATTGTCGCCCCGAACCATTAGAGGGCCAGTATATGTGCGCCTTGTCTTGCTGTGGCAGATTTGCACCGTGCGCCAAGCTTTGCTGAACTGCCAGCGGCGTACATTTCAGTCGTTTTGACTGGCACCGCCGGCCATGATTGTTGCCCCGTGGCCCCAAGTCCCCAGAGTTCCCGGATTGGCGCGATATTGATGCTCGAGTTTGCCTTGCCGATGTCCTGAGCCGATTGGAGCCAAACTGCCAGCTGCAAGAGGGGGGCATGGTGCAGTTGGCCAGTGCCATAGCTGTTGGCGTTAAGGAGCAAGACGGCAGGTGCCATAGTCTGACAACGCTGCGTAAGAGACTCGCACCAAAGCTGTGAGTAGCTATAGGGCGTTAAGGAGCAAGACGGTAGCTGCCGTAGTCGGAGAACGCTGCTGAAGAGACTGGCACCAAAGCTGCCAGGCACTGAGTGATACCAGGAAGGTGGTGTCAGCAAGAGAGATCCCTTTGGGGAAGAGGAATACCATAGGAAGGTAAGTTCAGCGAGGAACTTGCCTGGCACATGCCAAGGAGGAGGGATCTATCGTGACTTGGTTTTTCAAGCACAGGACGCCGCAGCACGGGTCTATGGTATAGTGTGTGGAGTCGGTGGACTACCTCTTCACCCGAATACAACATACGGTCATTATTGCTGTATCTCGACTCAAAGTTCACCCTAATACAGCAAGGATGACCGTACTCGGGTGAAGATGGTAGCATAGAAGATAGAGTAGGTGACCGTACATGTTCATGGAGCGACACACCAAGGAGCCGAGGACTACGAGCTGTTTCAGAAAACAAAATAAAAAAGTCTCATCGTTGTATTGATTGTAGAGAGGCGAGAAGGGGTGGTTTCATCATCAAAGAGCATTCACACGTTGTCGGTTCCTGAGTTGTTGACATTTGCTTTGTCACATCTGCTCTCCGTCTCGTCGCCACACGCATGGGGAAGTCAAAAGCGTTTGTGGTGCTTGTGATTTGAATTGCTTCTGTACGAGTTCTTTGCCGATGTGTTGTAGGAATCTTAAAATCCAGATGAGTCTTACACTGCACAGTATGGCACATTGTGAGGAACTCCATTCAGGTAAGAAGTTGAGAACACAATTAATTGCCAATACATTCACATGCTACAGCTATCAAGGGTGAGGGCAGCGATTGTTACTCTATTAGAATAAACGTGGAGTAATGACCCGCCAAAAGACAGACTGAGAACACTGCTGATTTCTGGGATTTGCCGCTGGAATGTATGCTTTGCTGAGGTTCCCACATTCTGCTGTGAATTTTAAGTATGTGTGTGTGTGCGCGCGCCTGCTGGTCTGCGTGCCTGTCTGAGTGTGTGCCTGTCTGAGTGCGTGCTTGTCTGCCTGAGTGTGCGTGTGACCCGCAAGGGTACTTGTTGGTTGAGAGGCGCTGCAGGGCCGGTACTTACCTGTGGCTGTGACTTGGAGGGTTACAGCGGGAAAAAGACTCAAGTAGCAGGTAGGCCGGTACCACTCAAGTAGCGGTAGACGTGTCGGGTACTGGAGGCCAAGCAGAAGAAGGCAAAAGTTGGCATTTTTAGGGGCCCGGTAGCAGTAGGCTAGAGGCAGGGCCGGTACTTACCTGTGGCTGTGACTTGGAGGGTTACAGCGAGAAAAAGACTCAAGTAGCAGGTAGGCCGGTACCACTCAAGTAGTGGTAGAAGTGTCGTGTACTGGAGGCCACGCAGAAGAAGACAAAAGTTGGCATTTTTAGAGGCCCAGTAGCAGTATGCTAGAGGTAGGCCGGTAGCAGTCCAAGTAACCTGAGTCTCGGGCCTGTCCGGACGACATCAGAGCCTGCAATGATGTTTCCCTCCGAAAGGGAGGAGGTACCAGTTGCTGGGAGGCCACGCGGCCTAGGAAGTCACCGCCCGAAGAGGAAAGTAGGCCGCTATAACTTCAGGAGGAGCAAGCAGCTCCTCCTCATTTGCGGTGTGCAAGAATTAGCAACATACTGCTGGAGCAAAGCGCTGGACATGGAGCGCTGCCTGGAGGAGGAGAGCAGCTGGGCGCTCAGCCTGGCTATGGCGAGCAGCCCAGCCTGAGGAGGAGGATGAAGGGGGCAAAGGAGGAGAGTGGCGAGGTACCTACCCGGCTTATGGTGGACACCATCTTCATCACCTTGTTGGGCGCTGCATCTGGAAGGCCCCAGCTGGGGTAGTGCCGCACCAAGGAAGCTCAACGCAGAGTCAGGCATGGCAGCTTAATGAGCAGCAGCATAACTGCTTTGTGTTGTCCTTTGGACAGGAGGGCAGCGACATAGCTGCTTTGGGTTGTCCTTTGGACAGGAGGGCAGAGCCCTTAGTAGTCCGCCATAGCCCAGACATGTGAGAGGAGGAAAAAGGGAGGAAGCCATGGCTATGGTGGACCTGTTGTTGTGTCAGCAGTATGAGGGAACTTCGGATATTGATTCTCGTTCATCCACTCATTGTTATTATTATTATTCGAAGAAGAATAAAATTGGCGAAGTGAAGGAGGAGGAGGAAGGTGGAGAGAGAAGGGGAGACTGCCATTGGTCTCGCTGGTGTACTTCTTCTTCTTCTTCTTCTTCTTCTTCTTCTTCTTCTTTTTTCTTTCTTCTTTGGTCTCTATCTACTTGCAAGCGCTTTCATTTCTTTCGCAATTGGGTGGCATTGTCTTTCCTTGTGAATTTGCACTTTGGAGATAAGCAGGATCATAACAGTGGCCTTAACACATGGGCATCAAATGAGATTCGCCATCCCTCATTCGTCGATAGGCATAAAGCCAAACTGCTTTAGTGACACTGAAACTTCAGCTGCCATTCCTTAGGTGAGGGCCATAAGCACAGAAGATTAGCCCACATTTCCAATCCTGTGACTGGGCCTTGAGAGGGAGGGGAAGTTTGCCCTGTCCGCACCTAAACAATCCTTTACCAAAGTGCTTCAGACAGATCAAATCCATCGTCCGCCCTCCTTTCCTGTTACCGAGCTGGTAAAGAATGTGCCCCAGACAAAATTTCCACTGCTCTCTCTCTCTCTCTCTCTCTCTCTCTCTCTCTCTCTCTCTCTCTCTCTCTCTCTCTCTCTCTCTCTCTCTCTCTCT